GCTCCTCTTTTCTCTTACGGTATATACTCAACTTTTTTCTATACGAGGTCACCACCCTCTTTCTCTTTGCTTAACTCCAATCGAGGTGAGTATTTGCTGTGTTTGGTATGCGCTTGTGTCAATACATTTGTTACGTATAATATATTATATTTAGTTTAGTTTATTAAAAAAAATTTTCTTTCTTTAAATATTTTTTCTAACATACCTATAGGCTACCATTACAGGCTCGATATCGTCGATGTTATATCTCTATATATGGTAATATGGAACGGGCTCGTAAAAAAAAATAGACTGGTAGACTGTTGTTTGCTTGTACAACGTGTGGCCTCGACCCATACCTTCAGTTACAGAGTTTCATCCTTTACCGACTGATCTAGCCAGACATTTACCATAATTGTTATGATCCGATTTCTACTCCTTACTGACAAAAGATGTCCTTCGCGTGGTATACCCCGATGCTAACCCCATTCATGTTTCCTAAATCGTATAGCGAAGAAACTATTGCCTTTAAAATCACGCACTTCACGTTTTTCTTTCCTAACTTCGCGTTATAACCATCAGTTCTTTTACTTTGTCTGAAGTTGCGTCTATACACTAATTGCCCCGCTCTAAACTGAATTTCCTTTTTTCGTTGATTATACACTCTTCCAGATCTCTGGTGAGCTGCTTTCAATTCTGCTGTCAGTTTCTCTCGCATCAATAGTTGTTTGTCTGTCGCTTCTAATATTTCAAATTCGGATTGTTTAATGGAGCTCAGCTTCCTCATTATCTCATATGCTGCGCCATGCTGAATCATATGTGACCCAAACACTGCCATTTATGGTTCCATACCTATCGAGCTGTGTTTCACACTTCTGAGTGCAAATGCTGCCTCACTTACATACTGATCCCAATTACATTGGTGTTCTTGTATATAAGAACGAACGATCTGAAGTACTGACTGATTTACTCGTTCGGCAGCATTGGCTTGGGGAGAATAAAATCCAGTTCGGATGTGTTTCACTCCATATTTTTGCAAGAATGACTTAAAGGCTTCTGAAATAAATTGTTTCCCGTTATCGGAATGCATTATTTCTGGTACACCAAATGTGTGAAAGACATCAGCCTCAAGATACTTTATCATATTCTGGACTGTAGCTGAACGCATCAGTTTGAGAAATACGTATTTTGAGAAGTGGTCTAGCCCTACAAAAATCACCGTATTACCTGTGTTAGTCCCAGGGTAAGGTCCCATGAAATCCACATACAGACGTTGGAACGGTTTTTCGGTTATCGTTTGCATTCCCATGAGTGGTTTTCTCATTCTATATGACACCTTAGAAGTATTACAAATCTCGCATTCTTTTATCAATGTTTGAACGTCACCAACCATTCCTGGCTAGAAATATTTTACCTTTAATTTTGCCAAGGTCTTTTGCATCCCTCCGTGTCCAGATGATGGTGATACGTGTACTCGTTCTGCTAATGACCATCGCAATTCAGATGGAACCCATAATTTCCAAGTGCTATCCTCTTGTAGTGGGTCGCCACTTCGAAAATCTGTTCTTTTATGCACATAACCTTCTGAAGTACACAGGTCAGGTAAGCGTTGTTGTTCTTTGGTCACCATTTCGTTGAGTGCCTTATATTTATCAGTTACAAAGAAAGGTGAGTTCTTAGTGTATATTGAAGTCAAATTCCTGTAGTTTCAAGCTCCATCTCGCTAGTCTGCCTGCAAATCACGCTGGTTCATCAACCATTTGAGACTCGCATGGTCCGTTATGACCGTAAATGGAACTCCTTCAACATATGCTCTAAATTTTTTTACACTGAGTACTGCCGCATAACATTCCAGTTCTGTCACACTATAATTCTTTTGGGCTTTGTTTAGTTTAAACGAAATATATGCTATCGGTTGCTTATCTCCAGCAGCATTGTAAATGCTGCTAACTTAAATTTTGGAACAAGCATTGACCTTGTTCCATATTATCATTTATAATGTAAAAATCACATGGCATTCCACAAGAATAACAGAAATTTAAGTGGAATGGAGATGGACACATGCTACCTGCATTATGGTTACTCGTGATCGTTGTCTCGTGGTAACGGGTTTCAATTCTACCTCCAAACGTGTTTTGCCCCTTATTTCTCTGTTGTAACTGCCCACGCTGTTAATTTTCGCCTTGTCTGTTCTGTGGAGAACTGAAGTCTTCTAAATCCCATTGTGAATGTTTGTCTACTTCAGCCTTATCTACTTCTTCATTTACGATTTCACTAATGTGCCTACCTCGGAGCTTGTTTTCTCTGCGAATAGTAGACTAGCTATTCCTGGCTTAACGTTATTTTTTATAATTGTCGCCAACTCCACTTCAGGAATTTTCTTTCTCAGTTTGAACGTCAGGCTATGTATTGTAACGACACTTTGGGTGACGTTCAAAAATTTTTAGTTTTTGCTGGGGTATCCTCAGCCGTCGTCCAGAGCCGAGACAATTTATTTATAGTTTCGCTGAGACGTTGTTTTAGAAGAAAGAACGTTATTTATATATATATAAATTATATATTTTTATTTATTTCATAAAAAAAAAGACTTATTATTAACAAAGTATAATTAAACAAATTCAGCATATAATAAGTTATTATTCACTTAAAGCATTCTTTTGTTTTTTTTTTCTAAATTAAAAAAAAATATGTATGGATAGCCGTTGACGACAGAAATTATTATTCCCCAGTGTGTAACTCGTTAAAAGATTTCTGGCAGGACAGTGTGACGTTCTAGGTCCTCTCCTCTGTTGTTATAAAAAAAACAATGAATACCTTGTACTGTAAAAGAAATCATTTGGCCGAATGAGCCAGGTTTAAAAATAATATACATAAGACTACGTTTGGCTGAAGGAGCCAGGTTTTTGTCAAAATGTGCCAGGTAACCAATAGGCCAGTGTACTTGTCTTGGATAAGTAAAATTTCAAGTCTTTGGTAAAATTTACCAGAAGGCTCAATGAGCCAGAGTACTTGTTCCCTTACTTGTCAAAAACCAAGTCCCCTATTACATGAAATGTTCCTCCTTTTATATCGAGCATACCGGAGCTTTTTGGTGTAGCGCACCGGTATTACTTGCTGTAGTTCACTTCGCCGTGAAGTTGAATTTTTTGTGTTCTGCTGTGTACTGCTTGTGTCTTTTCGTGTTTGCTTGTTTTCCTCTTCTTTTACTTCGCCGCGACTTTGAGTATTTACTACGCGTAGTGTTTTTTTATTTCGTGTGTGTTTTTTTTTCTCTTTAATTTATATTTTATTATTAAAAATAAAGTGTATTAATAATTCAAAACAAGGTATGAAATATACATATATATTTTGTGAATTTAATATTATTCAAATCTAAATGTGAAAAGAAAAGAAATAAAAATTAGAAATAATACAAAAAAAACTAGTGTTGATGTGCTTAGTTGCTGCCGGAGTTTGTTTTGTTTACGTGTATAAAAATAAAATCGTACAAGCATGAGTGTTAAATTATTTTGTGTATTATTTTATTTATATATATTTTAAATAGATATTTGTTTAATAATTAAACGTGTTTTCGGTAATAATTGTTCAGTGTTGTTGTGTTTAGAATTTCTTTACAAGTTTTTTTTGTTTTCATTCATAAAATTTGTAACAAACAAATTAAATTTTTTCGTATATTTTTAGATTTTGCACATGTATCGATGCCCGCGGCACGTTGGAATCGAGGATCACAGGTAATGTCCATGATATTTTAAATAAACATTTTACACCATATAGAGAGTTATTTTCTCTATATGGTGTGTAGCGGTGGTAGTTAGTTTACGAACAGACTTTATTTTTTCTTCTTCTAGCTAATATGTAGCACAAAAATTTATTGTAAAAATTTATGTCGTTACATTTCCCTCCTTCTTCAGAGAGTGAAAAGAAGACTAACTCTCATGTATTTTATTTCATTAAGGATTTAATAACGTGCGTAATTTCTGCTATATTATTCCTTTCCATGATATTGTTTAATTTCGTTGACGTGTACTGTTTTCCTGGTTATATTCCATATGATACATACTATTACCTGTGTGATTAATATTCCTCTCAGAATGAGGCTCGATTTCTCTTTCTAATCTTTGGACTCTTGAAAATTTTGTAGTAATCATCTTGGTTTTTGACATGATGATGGTCATCCTTTCGTTTTAATGTGCCTAGACGTCTTACGAGAATTTCTGGTTTGTTTCCTTTTGTGCTTGGTTGAATGTCGTTCCATTCCTCTTGTGGTGACCATGGTTCTTGTTGACTGTCGCGCTTGACTTTATCCTTTGCTTGAGTTTCTTGACTTGGTAGTCCCGTATTAAGTTTACTATCTGAAACATTGATATCTAATGGGTCTAATGAATTCGTAGGTTGTACTTGACGATTGTTCGATACTGGCGGTACTGTAGTAGAATTCCTCTGTGGCGATGTAGTTGATGACGAAGATGATGATGGACCAGACTGGTGATTATCTCTTGGTGGTGCTTCTCGTTGTGCTTGTTGCTGATTAACATGGGGTGGCGGCTGCGGCTCAAGTTCCTTTGGTTGTAACGATGATTTGAAATTACTTTGCGAATGACACTGTGGCGTTTGCGATGATGATTTTAAATTACTTTGCGAATGACTCTGTGGCGTTTGTGATGATGATTTTAAATTACTTTGCGAATGATTCTGTGGTATTTGCTGACTGATTTAATCGTTCGGCAGCATTGGCTTGGGGAGAATAAAATCCAGTTCGGATGTGTTTCACTCCATATTTTTGCAAGAATGACTTAAAGGCTTCTGAAATAAATTGTTTCCCATTATCGGAATGCATTAATTCTGGTACACCAAATGTGTGAAAGACATCAGCCTCAAGATACTTTATCATATTCTGGACTGTAGCTGAACGCATGGGTTTGAAAAATACGTGTCTTGAAAAGTGGTCTAGCCCTACAAAAATCACCGTATTACCTGTGCTAGTCCTAGGGTAAGGTCCCATGACAGACTTTGAAATGGTTTTTCGGTTATCGTTTGCATTCCCATGAGTGGTTTTCTCATTCTATATGACACCTTAGAAGTATTACAAATCTCGCATTCTTTTATCAATGTTTGAACGTCACCAACCATTCCTGGCCAGAAATATTTTACCTTTAATTTTGCCAAGGTCTTTTGCATCCCTCCGTATCCAGATGATGGTGATACGTGTACTCGTTCTGCTAATGACCATCGCAATTCAGATGGAACCCATAATTTCCAAGTGCTATCCTCTTGTAGTGGGTCGCCACTTCGAAAATCTGTTCTTTTATGCACATAACCTTCTGAAGTACACAGGTCAGGTAAGCGTTGCTGTTCTTTGGTCACCATTTCGTTGAGTGCCTTATATTTATCAGTTACAAAGAAAGGTGACTGCAAATCAGCATCTAGATTGCGAGTGTCTTGTGTTATCTCGTCAACAAACATCGTTCTTAGTGTATATTGAAGTCAAATTCCTGTAGTTTCAAGCTCCATCTCGCTAGTCTGCCTGCAAATCACGCTGGTTCATCAACCATTTGAGACTCGCATGGTCCGTTATGACCGTAAATGGAACTCCTTCAACATATGCTCTAAATTTTTTTACACTGAGTACTGCCGCATAACATTCCAGTTCTGTCACACTATAATTCTTTTGGGCTTTGTTTAGTTTAAACGACATATATGCTATCGGTTGCTTATCTCCAGCAGCATTGACTAGGAATAACACTCCTTCCACTCCGTCTTTAGAAGCGTCACAGTGGATATAAAAACTTTCTTGGAAGCTCGGATTCGTAAGTACTGGTGCTGTCGCAAGACTTTCTTTCAATCTCTCAAACGCTATTCTTGATTCGTTGGTTAGAGAGAATTTAATTAGGTTATTTTTAGTCAGGCAATCGTGTAATGGTGCTGCAATGGTGGCGTGATCTCTTATGAACCTTCTATACCATCCTGTCATTCCAAGAAAGCGTCCAAGTTGCCTTGCTGTTTTTGGCTCAGGAAAAATATTCATCGCTTCTGTTTTTGCTGGATCAGTTCGTATTGTCCCATTCCCTACGATGTACCCTAGACATCTAACTTCAATGTGACAAAATTTACTCTTTTGAACATTAATTGTCAGGTTAGCTTTGCTCAGACACCCACTTGCTGTAATAGACGCATGTGTCCCTCAAAGTCTTCTGAGCACACCAGTAAATCGTCTAGATATACAAACACCCATTCTCAAAGCGCTGCTGGAATGACTTTGTCCATGAGTCTGCACATGCGTTGCGCCGCATTACATAACCCGAATGGCATCACAGTGAATTGATATAGGGAGTCTTCCCGGGACTGTAAACGCTATCTTTTCTCTGGTTTTTCTTTCCAGCGGAATCTGCCAGAACGCATCTTTTAAATCGATTGCAGAAATGTACCTGGTATCTTGAAGTCTGCTCAAAATTCCTTTAATATGAGGCAACGGGTATGCGTCCTTGATTGTGCGCTCTTTGACTTTCCGGGCATCTAAGCACAGCCTGTTTTTGGTTTCTTTCCTTACCAGTGTTACCGGAGAGTTCCAATTGCTATTGTTTTCTTCAATCACCCCTAAACTCAGCATTCTGTCTAATTCGTCGTACATTA